AACAGGTTCAATGTGGACACCTGCAGCCACTAGAGGCACTACATTTTCCACAACAGCAGCACATAAAAGCCATTCTTTCAGGAAATTGTGACCCTCTATGATGACAATTCATTACATCGTGTCAGGGACGAATCATTGTTATGCTAAATGTTTGATATTTGCCCTTGCCTTCCCTCGTAATAAATCCCCCACAATCCACCATTATACTCCTGTTTCTAACCTTCAGGTACAATCTGGCTGAGCGGCTCTGTGGTCAATGCACTTCACTACCAATTACAAGGTTGATAAATGATAGGGTAACTCAGCCCATCATCTCTCGATGTCGAGAACATAACTGTGGGAAATCAACAGCGTTTGGTCCGAAGGAGTAATCCACGTCATAGGAATGTGGAATTCTCACTGCTGTAGCCATTAGGGCTACCAATAAAGATTAAGATACTCTCATCAGTGTATAATACATTATCGCAAATCTGCACCGGTGGGCAATGATAATTACACAGTGCAAAAATACTAACATGGGTGTGGGCGGTTACTTGGTCAGAGTGGATATGGCACGGTCAGATACGTGACGCCCTTTCTGAATTACAGTTTACCGGGCCACAGTGTGAATATTTGTGATATGCGTTCCATGAAACCGCTCTGGGAAGATGCTACCTGCTGGAAATATCTACACCAATGCACAGAGATCGGCTTTGGTGAACAAATGTGTGCATTAGATCACATACCATGTAACAATTTGTGTTTTATAGATGTGTTTTCTAGAAGACACTGTACACCGTATATATACGCACACATCACGTAGTCACGGATGCATGGTTATGATGTGAGTGCTGTAATGCAAGGGAGACGGAGGGAATGAGTGGGAGGGATAGAGGAAAGGGCAGACTTACATAATTGCTCTGTGATTCATTCCACAGACACTGAGCAGGACATTATCTGGTACAATTTATCCATGAGCAACATATCTAAAGGGCAATCGCATGACATTTCCAGCTAATAATAATAATAACAACAATATGTCTATTTATTTATCTGGAAAAGCCTAGACTGAGTCTCGACTGTCTTTTTTGGCAAAGTATTTTTTGGGACGTTTGACCGATTCCATAATGCAGCATTCTGTGCCCTGGTGGACCGCTATCACAATGGTGGTGACGATGATGCTGATGGCAATGAAGATGACTGTATAGACACTTATAAAGCCATGGATATAACAGCCAGTTAGTTCACCCACAGCCATTTTGCATGCCGAGTTGTATTCCATGAGTCTCTTTTCCAAATTGAGGATAACGATGGTTATATCATGCCCGTGATGACAGTGATTAGAATGGGGAAAAAAAATCGACGAACGAAATCCATAGAGTGATGGGGCATAACAAAAAGCATGTGCGCTGGTCATCAGTATTCATCACCCACAATCAATCCACTGCTGGTTGAAGGCCTTCCCCCAAACCGTCGCCATCTCTCACAGTCCTGCGACGTAGCAATCTACCGAGCTTCTCCTCCATGACCCGGGTTTAACCCACCATCTCCTTGGTGTACAACATCCTTTCGGATGCATCCCTTTCATTAGCTGTCACTCCATCAGCATTTTTGACCATGGGCCATCATCCCTTCTAGCGACGCGTCCTACCCAAGCCAGGCTCACTGGTGCGAGAGCTGCACGTGTTGGTATCAGAGGTTTCCTGGACATCTGTGGAAAAAATGAGCTTCACAGGCTCATACGATTCCTCCAGCTTAAATCAAGATTCTGACTTTCAAATTCCCCCACATCCCGAAAATGTTTTTTGCGTGCATATAATGCTCAACTGCAGAAATAAAGGTACCATTTTAATTGCAGTTCGCTAATGATTCTGTACAAGTTTGTCCTCCACATCCATTAACTCTCACCTTGTCAAATGGATGAAATGTATTCGACGTGAAAGATGACCCTTCAACCACCAGTAATCATCATCTCATATGTGGGTTATACACCACACATTGTAAATGTGGTTTTTTTACGAACAACGTATTTTGGCACTAAATTGACGACAGAAGAAGCTGAGCTGTGCCCCGCCGTACTCTTGAAATGTTGAAATGTAGTGCAATTAGCGACAACACCGTAACACTATAGCCTCATGCGGGGACCAATGCAAACACGGGATGCTCCGTGTTATAAAGTATACAGATAAATGGAAAGAGAGTAGGTTTAGTGTAAAATAATCCTCCAACAAATGGGGTACATAAAATGGGTTGACATTTGGTTCTCCGTACAGCACTCAATGTTAAAATGTGTCTTTAATTACGGTGGACATTATTTACGTTGTGTTAATAATATATATATTTTTATCAGGTAAACACTGAAAAAAATAACTACGTTGATTCACCGGTGAAGTATGGTTTACCTTCTGATGCAACTGTCGATGCGGTCTAGCTCCGTCACATGGGTGTTGCAGGCAAGTGATGGACTGGGAGAAATAAAATCGGCCCCGGCATTTGTAAACACACCGGCCCAAATTCGGGATTATGGGAAATTATTTTTTTAATGAACAAAAAATCGGCTGTGCGACAAAATGTATACTCGTAGGTAGAATTGTGTTGTGACATATTAGCGTGATTCTGTAGTGCCATCTTATTGGCCCATTTGAGCTGGGTCTAAAATCAAATAGGCCGGTTAGGAAAAATCCTTGGGGCTGCCGAATATTGGACTTATTGCCTACTAAGAGCCTAAATAAGCAATGAAGCGTGCAAATTAGAGGTAGTAAAATAGTTTAATAAAAAAATGTATATTCAAATGTTTTACTCTGATCACATTTCCAGTTTCCCCACATAGACCAGCCCCAAAGGGCATTTGCCCTATGGACTGCTGACCTCTGGACAGTCTGGGCCTAGTTGCAGAGCAGTTGCGCCTCACAGTAAGACGCCCTCGGGGTCAATTCCCAACTCTGCTTCCTTTCTGTGTGCGGAGTTTGTGTTATGTCCTCCTGTCCTGCATGGGATTTTTCCTGAGTTCTCTGTTTTTTTTCAAAGCAAAACCATATAATAAATATATATGCCAAAGCATCCCAATGCTGAATTATGAAATGCAATTTAATTTGCATTACATACAGCAATATCACCCCCTACTAAGAAAACTTGATAGGACTCGCCTGAAAATGTCTTGAGGCTCAGTGAGGCTTTCCTAGGTAAACAAGCATCATGATAAAAAATATATATAAATTGGCTATGATGGCTTATTGTAATTAAACACCCACCAAGTTTGCGCACTCCACCCACTTTAATAAACCTGCAATGCATGTCACTCACATTACCACTTTTTAACGAGCTTATAGAGAAACCTTTCTTCGAGAAGGGATCTGTCTCACCATAGGACAACCACTGTTGAATTTCCACAAATCGTTACACAATTTATCACCCCCAGATGGATGAAAGATTAACTGGTTACCACTTGAAATGTCAACTTTAAGCCTTCTGTTACTTGTGCGATCTACCCACGACACCACCAGGCAGGATATAATGAAGATTGCAGCAATAACAACGTAGAATATCCACACACGCTGGGTCATGTCTTTACATGGTCATGGCGATACATTCGGTACGAGATATCAGCATGGAATGCGTTGGTGCCAACTGAGATAGCTGCGTTCCATTTGGACGTGCGCGATTAGCCTGGCGTGAGTGCACGATGCAAAGAATGTGATGACAAGAAAAAAAGAAGAAACTTGGCTGAGAAAGTAAATGACATCTAAGCCATTATAACGCCTTAACTCTGCCATGCGAATGAGAGCATTAACCGTACTACTACCACGACTAATAATATCGGCATGTGCTGCATTCATTCAAAAAATCACATCGCACCATGAAGGGCATGCACACGACATGCACGCGCGCACACACACAGTGAGCCCTATTGAAAAATGCAAGTGATTTTCTACTTTGCACGAGCAATGCCAGCTTGGTCTCAATTTGACGGTGCTTTGTGTTTTTGCAACAAGTTTTCTCATTCAAAATAACGTGAGACTCACAATGGGCCAATCGACGGTGAGTGTTATGTAAGGGAATTATGGATACGGTTAAGATTACAATTGTGTTCGCAGTTGGAGGATACATTGATGTCCTTTTTAGTTTGTGACATACATTAATAATAATGCATCATATAAATCAGGATAATTGGAGTGTTAGACGGTGTACTTATATTCGTTGGGTTCCTCAAACCAGCTTACAAATTTCCACAATCTTATGACAGGGGCCAGACTATCCATAGGATCATCTCTGTGGGCTTGTAGTTTAAATCTGTAATTCAGCACTTCTGAGGCAGGGTTAGTGGATGATTCAGAGATCACCATGTGCTGAAAGATTCCCAAACTACTGAGCTACACAGTGGCTAAAAGATGGCAGCAGGGAAGGCAGAATCCTGACACGTCTGTGGGTATTTAAGTTGATATTTTCTCCATATACATGCAAAACACTCCAAAAAAGAACCGGGTAAAGGCAAGATGCTAAATATACAGTTGGGGCATGGGTGTGGCTTACCGATATTCAGAGTGGCTTCACGATATTAGGAAACCACTGGAGCTATGCACCATACGTAGCCAACCGTGCTAATTGTAGGTCTGGGGGAAGGAGAACGAACTAAACACAAAAATAAGATCTATAGAAATGGGTTTTCATTCTAGATTATTTAAAAGTGCATAGCTCCAGTGGCTTCCGTAATATTGGAAGGCAGAGCACTCTAGATGGCCGCAGAAGTGCATTTGAAAGCGTGCGATGCGGTGACCGTCTTTGTTTGATGGCCAGCCAAAAACTGCTACGGGGATGACCGAGTTCGCACGATGGTTTGTGCTCCTTCACGTGATCAGCAAGATATTGTGGTTCACTTGTGGCAAGCACTTTGTGTGTAATTAATGAGACCTGCACAAAAAAAACTTGGCTAGCCAAAAGCTGTAGGGATTCCACAGGATGCGACGGGCAGTTCCGCGGGCAAGTTTGTGACTGACGCGTGGCGGCCCCCCCGCCCCACTCACCAGCGACTCGACAAGCACCGAGTGCAACTTGAGCTCGGCGTGCACCGTGAACTCGGCAATGAGGGAGCGCAGCACGAACTCGCCGGGCTTCACGTCCGGGTCCACATGCGGCGACGACGACATGGCCCCCGCCGAGGAGGTCGGTGCGGCCGCGGCTGTGACGGCCGCCCCCCCGGCGCCCCCCACCGGGCCTCCCCTGCGACTGCGGCCCAGGGGCTCGAGAGACGACGGGTGGCCGCTCGACGGAGGAGGAGGAGCAGCGGGAGAGCGGTTCAGGCCGTTGGCCGACGGTGGCGACGCTGCTGGGGTGGACAAAGGGTTGGGGGGGGGGGGAAGCGCATGAATATTAAATGCCGCGTAAATGATTAAGCGATTGCGTTGCCGGTAGCGTACGAGTACAAATGAGAAACGCACGACCGCTGTCATCATTAATAGACCATGTACAGTGCACTCAATTAGGTCAAACAAAGATTGAACATATTGCAGCCACTTTCTCAATCCACCAATTGATGGTCTCCCCCACCACACCATGTCACTTCACAGGGATTTGTTGGCCATACTTCACCATGCTGGTCGGTGTGTGTTGGTGAATGGGGGATGCGGAGGCACCGGTTCTGATATCACTGGCCGATGATGTTGGTCGTGGCTGACAATCGTAGTCAGTTCACCGAGGTTCTTAGCACAGCTCGCTCTCTAACATACCAGACAAAGATGTCATTCCTGACTTACAATACCCTGGAGTCTACAAACTGAGTTGCAGTTGTGGTGATTGCTACATTGGAGAAACGAAACGTCATATCTCTGATCGTGTCCGCGAGCACAAGTCAGATCTGAAAAACGGCAAAACTGATTCTTCCGCCATTGCCGATCATTGCTACAACGCTGTGGGCTCCCATGAAATTGTCTTTTCCGAGACTAAGGTGCTCTGCAAGCCTCTTTGCTACCATCAAAGGTTTGGACACGAGGCCATCCAAATATACAAACACAGACATAATTTCAACCGTGATGATGGGTACAAACTTAGTAATCATTGGAAAGATGTTATTAGCCATGCAAAAAAGATTTAACTACACATATTTGGAGCATTCCTGGCAGCGATTTCAGCCGCACCACCTCTACATAACAATAGGCTCAGTCAACCATTCTACACAACAAAGACTAATTTCCTGGCAGCGATTTAAGCCGCACCACCTCTACATAATAATAGGCTCAGTCAACCATTCTACACAACAAAGACTAATTTCCTGGCAGCGATTTAAGCCGCATCATCTCTACATAACAAAAAGGCTCAGTCCCTTTTACATGCACCTTTACATCATCCGCACCTAGTTTACACAACAAAGGCTCTTTCCTAACAGCGTGCTTCAGCCGCACCGAACCTCACAAAAAATAATATTCAGGGCCTACCTTGGCTCCTCCCACCCTCAACCAGTATATATAAAAATACGGTTTTCTTGGAATTTCTCTCACTTGATACAGCTATCGTGCTGTGACTGTTCCACCTGAAGACGGAAGCTTGTGTTGCCTCCGAAACGTCGTGTTTTTTATTTTTATTTTATTAATATTAATTCTTTCACCTACGTGACTTTACCGAAAAAACCTAAGAATATGAATCCTTGCAGTCACGAAAGCTTCAATTCTAGAATCAGACAACAACGCTCTGCAGAGATCGGAAGGACCATAGCCCACAACAATAACCTACTGAAATAAAGTCTGTTCTAAGCCAATGTTAAGCACAAAGGTGTTACACGTATATTAATTGTCAGCAAACAAGAAAGTTGACTAAAGAAAAGGCAAGTCACCAAAACGCCAGAATAAGTAGAATTTAGAGCAATTAATCTTAACTGCATATGGGGGCGCTGACACGGCACAGGGGTAGGCATATTTCGCCAATCGTTGCTGATGTTCGTAGTTCGAATCCAGCAGGTTTCCCTGGTGACTACTGCGGCGGTGTGTATCACCCATGAAATACTCGCCATCTGGGTCACAGCGAACGTTAAAAATCCACTGACGTCGTTACAAAACGAGTTGGCCAATATGTGAGCATTGGTTCAAATTTGGCAAATTTGAAGATTACCCACAAATCACTTAATTGGGATTACACAGAGAAGCAATCAACACCCCCGACTGGCAGCCTAATGCCCGCTAGTTAGTTTGTGCTCACCGGGGCATTACTTAAACGTAAATTGATTCTTATTGTCAATGTTACATCCGAGCCTTTTAGAGACAGTATATAAAAGATTGTACAGCCGGAGGCTCACATGCAGGGATATTTTTAAATCTTCTGTTGTCCCATCAATTGTACTTTCAGCCAGACGGCTGCATTATAATGTGACAGGAAGTTAACACAAAGGTCGAGCCTTGAAAGTAGATTTTTTTTAAGTGACTTGCAATGGCCAACTCATTAAATTGTACGGGGAAAATTGGCACCGCCCCTCCCCATTGCTCCGAGTGAAATTCTTAACAATATATTTTAATATATATGCACGCTTGCCCTGCGTCTACGCTTTATTTCAATCAATGCCTGGCTCCACAAATCCCCAGCAGACATTCACACAACAGTGTTTTGTGGATAAGCTCTTCTACGAAGACAAAAACGTATTTCTTTCTGAACCGCAGAGCTCACTACACGTGTGATGTATATATGGATGTTTGTGTACAGTGTGTAAATGTGCATGCTCGTGGGGAGCGGTGGTGGAGCGGTTAGTGTGCCGCGCTATGAACCCGGTGACCTGAGGTCGTTTTCCTCGCTCACGGCCAACACCAAGTACGATTATCTGAATAGGTCCTGGGCCTCCCCTAGGTCGACTCAGCCTCCAATGAGTACCTGGTGCGGTGCGTAAACATCGCCACTGGGGAGACAAAGGCGGTGGGGCATGGTGCTGGCCACCCATCCTCTTCGTGTACCGTGCCGGCCTTCATAGGTGCTACTTGCTAACAGCACTTGCCCTAAACAGTCTGCTAAAGGCTATATGGGGGATCTTTGTCTATGTACGGTGTGTATATGGTGCAGTGGCTTGCAGTGGTACAGTGGCTACAGCTTGAAACAAGTACCTGGTGAGATGTGCTGTGGTTGCTGGCTTTGTCTCTGGACTTTGGAAATTAAGCTCTATTATGCTTGAGCCAATAAAGTTCAGCGGTTAGCACGAAGGTGATGCGCTCCCAGACAACCACGTTTCATAAACAGGGGCAAGTGGTATCTGAACCTCACCTAAATTTCACAATCAAAATAGCCATTGTCGTTGACAGAATTAATGGATTAAAAAAACTCCTTAACATTCAACACAACCATACCAGCTGAATGAGCAATAACATAGGGTGAATCAAGCAATCACTGTACCCATTTAGTGACGCATTTCAGATATATCCTGTAACGTAGGGCTCATATTTTTAAGCTATGGTTGGGACAGAACTTATTGGTTTTAAGGTCACATCTGACAGGAGCGATGGTGTAATATATCCTCCTGCCCATAGCTTCGGTTTAACGCAAAACAAATGAAGCACTGTAACTTGTCACACACTCACACTCCAGGCAAGGCGTACTTAACTTTAAAATGTCTCTCGCGCGCACGCAAATAATCTAAGCATTAGAGTATTTTTCCCCTTACACTTCAAATTTCTTCTAAACTAAAAACGTAGCTTCTTATTTTACCAGGTAAGGCCCACTGAGCTAAAGAGATATTTTTTCAGAAACAAACTGGCTACAAATTATATCTCTACAAAGTGGCTTGTTCTGTGGAAATTTACAGCAGCCAAATATACTTTCAAACCATTATTGTATATTATCAAATGTGCCCAATCACAACCGGTAAAAAAACTGCTAAATATCCCATGAGAATTGGCAATGCAATACTGGCATGACTTTCTCAGCAAATTGAGTCAATGCATTTCCCATGAGTTCAAATAATTATTGAATTGCGTGAGATTCAAAAAGTAGTGTTTTGAAAAATGAGCTCAAGTACAAAAGGTCCCCGTTGGAAACTTTTCCATAAAATTTTCTTTTTACCTCAGCACCGTGTATTGTGAATGTCACTCATTGAAATTCGCTTTTGATTTTCTACATCCTTGTTTTAACACCGAATAAAGGACAAAAACCATCCCATCTACCCAAGTTCTCTTCAAACAATTCAATAGCAATCAACAGAAATACCACAACTACAACACCGTGGATGCCACTACACTCGGCCTTCACCACAACACGCTCTGCATCATCTTTAAATTGCATTTCTCGGGCCTATGCAACTTCAGTTTCCCACAAGCTGTATGTACAGCAACATAAGAACAGGCTGTTGTTCCCCCTTAATGAACGGCTCTCACCACAACAGCGTTGGTGCAGGGTATTTGTGTTGTTCCCCAGGGGAACCCATTAATTTCGGCTGACGAGTGGTGTTCCGCCATTGCTGAACAGGACGCGAACGTGGACGCTTTTCTTAATTTGATCAAATCGCTCAGAATGCACAAGATCCCATCAGGCTTGGGAAGAATCAGATTCAGAATCTTTATATATCCTGGAGAAGAAAGCCGATGACCTCTGTCCAGTAGGGGCGGGTCAGAAAGTTAGAAACAAAAATCAATACAAAAAATCTAAAGGGTGCAAAGTATAGGAAAGATAAGCAAATCACTAAAAATAAATACGTAAAATAGATCAAATATATAAGTTCAAATTTCAAAAGTAAACCAATTCCAAAGCTTGTGCAAGGCAGCAAAACAACAGCAAGAACAGCCCCAGACCACAGCAAGAGACAACACATAGTCTCTCTACAATAAAATAACGTTGTCATAAGCAGGGTGCAGCGTGGATATTGCTTGGATGGGTGTGACCACAAATAACAACAGAACAAGTGTGGCAGGTGATGTGGGCAGTGCAACCAAAAAACTAATCCCTATTGTTCTGCACCCCCCCCCCCCCCCAAACTTCACAAGCCCGCATTGACCAGTACGATGAAGTGTGGTCAAATAACGGCCATGACATTGTGCGGCACAAGGAAGCCCTTTACCCGGCAGCTGGTAGATTGACAATCTGGCCGTACGTGTACATGCGAACATCACTTTGGACTTCATAGCAGATGCCGTGCTGATATTTAGAGAACTTTTAAACAAAGATTTTTTTTCTCACATTCATCGTGAACACTGCCTTATAACAGAAATATATAGGTGATAGGCTGACATTGGGGGCATTGTTCCTTCCACAAAGTTTCACTTTCCTATCACTCTAACCAATAGGCAATTATTCTGACACGCTCCGACTGGACATTTGTAAAAAGGAGATTTATAACTCATCAGATTCCTCCAGTATACATAA